TATACAAGTCACAAGAACCTTAAGTATTTCTTATTGATTTCTGTTCTAAATTATTTTCAAGTCTATTGGAGCATGTTTTTGTCATGTTTCTACTTCAATACTACATATCAACTAAAGAAGCAATAAGGACTATCAAATTCTCTATAAACGTAATCATAACTTATGCTCTTAAAAGAAGATGCAACATATAATCAATAATTGACAACACTCTTGAAACTCAAGATTTTTTTTTATTATAGCAATTGTTATATCAATTCCAATAGATCTTTTTTTTCTTCATTAGATTTGTACAATCTTAATTAAATACCTTTTAGTTTTTGATATTAAATCTTATTCCAAAGCTTCTTCAACTTCTACCAATTCTAAAACAAAAATGGTTTTTTATTTTTATAAACTTCATCACAAATCTCTTACCAATAAATTTCTTTGATACCATATATGTAATTTTGAATAATTTATAAAGATAGCATATTTTATTTCTTTTAAAAAATATTAATAATAAAAAAATTACCAAATTCTTTATTAATAATGTCTATCAATACTATGAATTTCTAGATGATATTAAATTAGATCAAGGAATATACTTTATATTTAAGTTTTGAAAGTCATCTTTAAATTTTTTTGAATAATTATTAAGCTTTATTTAGCATTTTATCTATAAACTAATTTCCAAATGGACTAAATCAACCAAATCTTAGAACTAAACTTGAGATATTCCATTAATTACTAACAAGACAATTAGATATCTTACTTGTCTTTATCAAAGTTTGTTTACAATAAAATAATACATATATCTATTTAAATCTAACTATGGTTGATATATAAAATTAGATATATTATTTATTGGTAGATTTGATAATCTAATAGTAAATAACTTTATAAATTGAATAACTCATATCCAAGCTACTTTAAAGCTTCAATTAGGAGAAATCTAAGGACACTATTGTGTAGTAATACAACCATTAGGTGAAAGAAGAAAGAAATTACTTTATTATAGAAGAGCCTAATTAAAAAGATATATTAAAAAAATTTAAATAAATAATAGGCAAGTAGTAAAATTTATTAGTATTAGAATTGTTTTTATGAAATTGGATTCTATTCATTTTGTAAAGCCATAAATAAAGCAAATCAAGGTAGATTAGAAAAATAAAGGATATAAGTATGTGTAAGAAATAATTAAGGATTTATTTTAGCAAAAATTATCTCAAGAAGATAAGAATTGATACCCTAAGATGACAAGTTGCCAACTAGGATTGAAATCAAATCCTAAGGTATAAAACCGAGAATTTTAGGCAACTTTGGGATATTTTTTATAAATCAAAGAAAACTTAAGAAGAGATTTTCGAATATTAGTTTCATGTTATTTGGATTAATATTGAAATTTTGAAGGATTTTCGAAGTTAGTAATGTACTTAGTAGATTTAGATTTTGAGAAATAAAAATATGTTTACAAATTTTATATAAATTAATTTTGAGGGATTTGAATACTTATTAAATTTTTGTGAGCTTTACAAAGTCAGGGTTGTTTTGGATGACTTTGTTTTGTATTGAATAAAAAAGAAATTTAATTTTGGCCAATTGTATAGAATTTCTAATAGATCCATTAGTAAAATTTAGTAGATTTGTAAATGCATTTGTGTTGAATATGTGTTTTCAATTTGAGCTTAGTTTAATAGTCAAATCAAATGTAAGTGAGGTTCAGGGGAGCTAAGGTCTTAGAAATTAGATTATAAAGATTAAAAAGAGTTTCTTAAATTATAAGTAATTTTCTTATTAGATTGAAATAATTTATTTTTGTGAAGATGATTATTTTTTATTTTTTATTTTTTTTCATTTTAAAATATTTTGAGACAAAGTTCACATTTCAATTATAAGGTATTGAGGCTAGAAGTTTCACTTTGAAGTTGGAGAAGGGGGACAGCCAACATTCAAGCAAATAAGAAAAATTTTCATCTATTTTATAAGTAAGATTATCTTTAAGCTTTTTATGCTTGTTTTTAACTAATAAATTGATTTATATAAAAAAATATAATTAAAATTAATAGTTAATATAATAATTATTGAGATTTAAAATTTATTGTGATATTTATATAGGAATTGATTAGGATTTGTTTGAATTTACTTGAGGTTTGATTGAGGCTTTTAACATTTTTTAGGATTATATTAGGATTCTATTAGAATTTGATTAGAGTTTGGTTATAATTCTATAAAGATTTATTTATAATTTCTTTGTAATTTCTTTAGGCTTTTTTAAAGACTTATTTAGGATATGTTGTAATTCCTTTATAATTTCTTAAATATTTCTTTAGGTATTGTTGTGATTTTTTAGATTTCTTTTGTTTTATTTTGTTTTCTTTAAGATTACATTTGATTTCTCTAAGATCTAAATAGGATTTTCTTACGATTGTTTAAGATTTATTTGAAGTTGAATATAATGAGATAAGATTAATTAGATTTTTTGAGATTTCTAAAGTATTTCTAAATACCTTGTGTATTATCTTTGCATTATGAATCTAACTTTAAGAAAAAAATCATTCTTTTCTATAATTAGATTTTTAATACATTTTTAAGGCTAATTTTTACTTAATAGTAATAATTACAACATTAATAAATACATAAGTACCAACTTTAAATTTAATGAATGCACCTCAAAGTGTATTATAATTTCATTGACAACATCCTTATGGACCTAATGTAGCAATATATGTTATGTAATACTCCTATATATCATATTTAAATATGGTATGTGCTAGACTTTGTAGTTTCTTTGTACAAGAAATAGAAGCAATTCCAAAAAGTTTTAAGAATTCAATTCTTATACAAACTAACAAATCTCGAAGTAGTTCCATTCTACCTTAAAATTACAATACATCTTTAATTTAACTAGTTAGATGTGAATCTTCAAGAAGATAATACCATGCCAATTAGGCCATATCAACTAAGCATTTTTTGTTGTCAACTTCAAAAAAAAGAATCACTTGAATCAAGAAGACATTAAAGAATATCCAACATTTGCTTTGTGGTAATTGTCATTGAAATAGAACTTACTTATGAAAGACAAACTGAAGTAATTTTTGAGGGATTGCTTTGCAAAAAAAATACATAAATTCATGCTTGGTTTGTAGTAGAAGGTGTTAATTACTATTGTTGGTTGCAAAGACTAATGAATCTTTTCACTTACAAAAGACAACTTGAGTATGTAGTAGATACCATGTGGCACATCTTTGACTTTCTTTGCCTTTGATCAACTTCAATTCTATTTCTTCTCATGAAACTCAAGGCTAAAAGAAGATGTGATGTTATAGACATATAATGGAAGAAGAGTCTAAAAGATTTTAGAATGCTCTTATTAATTTTGAAAAATTCTTAATATATTCTAGTACATTCTAAGAAGCTTCAAAAAGGTCTTAGAAGGTTTGAAAGAATCTTAGATGCTCGTAGAAGGTTATTAGAGACTTGCTTACTTTGAAGAATTAAAGAAACTTTTCAAGGAGCTTCCTTGCACCTAATATATATAGGAATTGAAGTTGAAAGGATTGGTAGTCTTGACAATGCAATCCATTGGGCTCATCTTGAACCTTTTGGTCTTATTCTTGTACCTTCTTGTAGCTCTTTATTTGTGATTTAAAGTGAATCTCTTTTGTTTCATTTCTTTGAATTCTTGGAGTTTTGTCCTACCCAAGTGCTATGTCTATAACATTTCTAACACAAAAAAGAATCTTATATACTAATCACTATACATAAACCATACAAGCAACTATTGTTCTTGAATATAGTCCACTTCAAATGAATGTTATTCTTTAACATTCCTAAAGAATGTTGTTTCGAAAAATGCAGATTAATTCGAAATGATAACACCAATCATCGTAAAATTGAGAAGCAAGGAGGAAACGAATGAATTCATCCACACATTAATTAATTAATTTATCCCAACATGTTCAAAACAGCAGGAGGGGAGGGGAAGAGGTGGGAGGCAGCGGGCAAGCCTGCCCGACGTTGGCAGGGCAGGGCAGGGCAGGGCTGCGAACCATGAGCGGGGTGGCCACAGTAGGCTCTGAGCAGATAAGCCCCCCCCCCCCCCCCCC